ATTAAAATGTAATAAATATTGATTTTTAATTAAAATTAAAATTAAATTAAAAAAAATTAAAATTACTTAGAAATATTAATAAATATTACATATTGATTTTAATAAGATGAAATCTTTGTTTATTATATAAATAATATAAAATAGTATAATATAATATAATATATAATTAATTATATTTCATATATATAATATAAAATAAAATAATATAATATAAAAAATTTTATTATTTATTATCTTTTGCTTTCTATTATTAAATAAAATAATCAAATATTTATTTTGTCATCGAATTAAAACCATTATATTTATTAAAATTAAAATTCCATAAAATACATTTACTAAAATATAATACATCAAAAACAGAAATTTTAACCTAATTTTTTAGCACATCAATTTTAATGAATTTTAACAAAACTATAGAACTTTTTATAGAACTTTGACTTAAATAGTTTTTCACTATTCAAATTGTCTTAATTCAATAATCAATAACTTTAAAATTTATTTTCAATATTTATTTCAAACAATATAATCTTTATTTTATTGAAATTATTCTTTTTTTGTTTATTATTTTCACTTTAAACAAAAATCATCTTGACAAAACACAAAATCTTTAATATCTAATATTTTTACAAAGAAACGCAAATGAATTTATTATAAAACTAATATATACTTTAAATGTAACAAATATTAATAAACAAATCGAATATAAAAATTTTCAACGTGCAGTATTCAATAAAAATTATTATTATCAATATAATTAATCAATCTCTCATTCAATTGTAAATAAAAATTAATTACTTTAATAATAATAGTATAACAAAAATTAATCATTTTAATAATAATGGTATAACAAAAATTAATCACTTCATTGATAATGGTATAATTGATGATATAACTTCAATAATAGCATCAAACTTATATAGCACATAACTTCATGATATAACTTCAATAATAGCACATAACTTTCTGAACTACTGCTTGATTTTTCAAATAAAAAGAATTTAAGAACGCAAACGGTACGCATTCACGATCCTTGAGCAATCGAGAACTATCTACATACAGTAGATAAGCAAAGAGCGTCAATTATGAGCAGATAGGTTGGTGGGATCGTTGTCTATCCTATGTTGCACACGTTACCTGGTACAGGTTATGTGCTGATATATAAAACTCGGTTTTCATTGCGAACTTCAGTTTCTACGAAGGTAGCTAAACACGAACGTACTCTCTTTGACACGAAGAATCAAATCGATCTGTCGGTAGTTATAAACCTAAACATTTTCAAATTTGTTTCAACTATAATTTGTGAATAAGAAGCGATCAATATTTTTCGATTTTCCGCTATCATTTATTTAGGAAGCAAGTTAAATAGATCACAGTGAGTATATATAAAAATTCGGTTATGTATAAAAATCGTTGCATCAAGTTTAATTTGGAAAGATCAAAGAGTCTTTGTGTTCGATTAATGTTAAATAAAAAGTTTAAAGATTTATAAATATAATTGTATGTATATTTTGATGCAAGCGTTAAATGTTGTTGATTTATGAACAAATATATATGAGTATCAAGTATCATCATATCATAAAATAAATAAAATCATAAAATAAATGATTTAAAAAGAAAGTGCATTATTACTTATATAATATATGATATTTTATAAATTCAGTGTTAAATATATTTCGAACAGAAAAGTATTGAAAATAATTTTTGAAACAATTTCGATAAAATGAAATATTTTAAAGTTTTTTTTATAATTAATTTGGTAATAGATATATAAAAAAAATATTTATTTATATATACTAAATGCAATTATTAATTGAAATAATAATTTTTTATTATATATTAAAAATAATTATTTAATATAATATTTTAAACTATAAAGTTCTACTATGAGTATTTAAAGTAATATTTTACTTAATATAATATAAAAAAAAAATTATTATTTTAAATTAAAAATATTTTTATTTTTCAAGATTGTGTAATTATAAAATTTCATATACGAAATTGCTTATTTTTGTACAGAATTGTTTACACAAAAAATAAAGAAATCTTATCAAATTTAGATAAGCTTTGTGATTATTGGAAATCTAAAATGATCTGAAATAAATTTAGATGAAATGTAAATATTTCAAATAATAATTTATAAATATTTCATAGAATATTTTAAAAATAGATCATTTCTCAAAGAACTTTAAAAAAATAGTCTCAAAATAAAACGTAATAATCTTTTAAAATTTCTCGAAACGTCCAGATCTAATCTAAATTATTTATTTTGCGAAATCTAAAATTTAATAAAACATAAATCTTCACGCAATACGATCTATTTAAGACATCTGTAAAATTCTAATTACGTTTAATTACCGCTAAATGTCAAAATTATTTTAATTAAAAAGTTTATCGTGCAATCTCAAATTACTCTAATTGTAAACTCTCCTGCGTTAAATAAATATTCTTGGTTTACCATTCGTTATAATGACTGATAAATTATTTAACTAAAATTAAAAATTTATATTTTCTTTCTCAAAAATATTAATCTTATTTCGATAATGGCGGATAGAGTTTAATAATCGAAAATAATCATTGAAAATATAATTTATTAAATAAATTTAAAATAAATTTGAATATATAATATACATTTACAATATAAAAATATATTTGAGTATATAGAAGTTTATTTATATAATAATTATATTTATATTAATAATTATTATATACTATATTATATAGTAGATTTATTATAGATTTATTGAAATTAATTATATTAGCAAAACATAGCAGATTTAATTTTAATATTATAATTTTTCTCTAAATTATTTTTTTGTTTTC